GGGTCCAACTGTCCTGGAATTAGTCCTATGAAAATTATCTTTCGTTGATGGTCCTAAATATGCAATTAACTTTGTGATTGGTCCTATTTGAGTCATTAACTCAAATTATTAAGTTTGTGGTGATACGTTCAAGCACTCCTTAACCGTAAGACCATTTGGAGCTGTGAGTAATTAGGAGTCCAAAATGTGAAAATGGCATTTTTGGACTCCTAATTTCATGCATTGGTGGAGTGTAGAGGGTATTAAAAATGAGTTTGGGGAGGGAAGGGGTTAAATTTGGAGGAGTTTTAGACAGCCAAAAAATAAATGGAAAAGAAAAGAAAAAAGGGGTGGGGGCTTACCTGATGTGCGCAGGCTGGGAGCAGCGGGCTGGCAGCGGAGTAATTTTCCTCGCTGACATCATGTTGATGTCAGCATGAGGTCAGCATGCACTACCAAATTTATTTCAAAAAATGTTTTGGTAGATCCAATGACTATGATGATTTTGACACTGTTTGAATGGAAAAAAATGATCCAACGGCTGAAATTTAAATCCAACAGTTGAAATAATTTATTTTATTTTTTCACTTATTTTTAATTAATTTTTTTAATGAAATATATTTTTAATGAAATTTTTTTTTTTTACATCGAAATGTGTCTTTTTTTATTTTATAATTAATCAGAGAAAAAATTAACAGGAAAACATTACTTATAATAATTTAATTAATGTTTTACTAAATTGATATGTAAAAAAATGTGTTGAGTGTATTTTATTGACGGTGTTGGAATGCAGAGAATAGGAGTCAAAACACTGTTTTCATATCGACAGAGTCCATTTTTAACATTTAGACTCTTGCACCACTCCAAATGGTCTAAGAAGCTACTTTTGAAATAAAAAACATAAAAGTGAAAAGGAAAAAGTTTAATGATGAAAAGAATAAAGTCTGGGGTTATAAATGAAATAGAGTTGCCAAAGGTTGATCAAACGGGTAATTGCCACAAATATATTTCAGTGGCCATAAAATAATACTATCTGTATATGAATCTTAACTTGACCATCCGAGCTCGAACTATTGAATACCTTCGACCTAACAAAGAACTAGGCTTCTTCAAATATAACAAAAAATCGAAATCATTCTGTGCAAGCGAATAAACATATCAGAAACATCTATAGACTATATTTAAAAAAAAAAAAAAAAAACTTGCAAAAAACAACTAAAAACATTTGAGAAGCAATACACCACAACAGCTTACCGATTTAGCGATTCTCACTTGCTATATGTTGTAGGTCTGTGTTGGTGTTTCATTTTGTCGTGGATTGGTTGACAGAGGTTCAGGACGGGTACTTTCAATTTCAACTGATGGCTCGCCACTGTCTCGGTCATGCGACAGAGGCCCTTGATAGAAAATTCCACTGCGCGGGAAGGGTGACTTGGGGGGTTCGTGTTTTGAGTAGTTGTAACATACATCAACAACTGGGTTCAGGGTCTCTGCCTTGATTCGGTGCCTGGCCAAGGGAGATTGTTTGCGCGGTTCCTCATTTGAGATAGGTGAATGGAGTTATATTGGTGATACACAAAAAAACACTTTATAAAACTATCAACTTTTACTTTTCCAAATCACTTTTTTTTTCACACTATCAATTTATGAAAAATTCTAAAACTACCCCATTCTATACCCCATTTTGTACTCCCTCCCTAGTTTTATGGTTAAGAAAAGCAATGAATTTAAGTTGGGCAATTGTTTTGTGGGGTTTTGTGAGCCACTCATATAGTGATGTACAAATGGGGTACCTCGTTTTGGGGTACATCTAGCATTCCTCATCAATTTTTACCATTAAACACTTTCTCCAAAATCACTTGGGGAAACAGAAACTAATAATCCAATCTTTTAGCAGTCTTCTTACAATAGTCTCACATTTTCGTTATTCAAGAACAATCCAACATTTGCACCATGTCTTCAGGTCTCTGACCTGTTAATGACCTGTTATTCCAAGTTATTTTCTTATCTTTGCAAAATATTATCTTTGTAAAAGATGAGATTTATGGTATAATGGTTTGCAAAGATAAGAAAATAACTTGAATAGTAGGTCATCAACCGGTCAGGGACCAATGAAGTAATCGCAAGCACTCCTTTATTTTAACTATCTTGGTAATGAGAAATGGTGTATGTCATTAATAGACACGAGATAACATATGTACTTCTTTCGTTTCACAACGTACATTTCCCTTTTTTGAATGTTTTAAAACAAAGTCACATTTCTTTATTTGGTAAACAAATCTACATTTTTTTTTGTAAACAAATCTACATCAAAACAATGTAAAACAAGGTCAAAACGATGTACTCTTCAGTAAATTTTACTCCTCAGTAAATTTCTTTCCTTAATCACGTGTCCAGTTCCGCTTTCCGCGTTTCCATGTGTAGTCTGGGATTCGGGGCGGGGCGGGGTGGGTCCCCCGGGCGGGCCGCCGGTTCTGAATAGGTGGGACCGGGACCTGCCCAGGTAGCCACCGGGTCTGGTCCGGGACCGGGGCCGGGCCGGGCCTCGGGTCAAATTTTTTCCCCCTTTTCCTAATTACCCCCCACACCCCAAATGGCCCAAAATACTCAGCCCAACCCGAAAAGTTAAAAAAACTTGAAAAAAAATAAAATTAAAACGCCCAGAATCGGGCCCGAACCGGCCCGGCTTTTGGGTGACTCGAGCCCGCACCGGGACCCCCCGGGTCGGGCCTACCCGGACCGGTCACTGGCCGGGTCACCGGGCCGGGCTAGTTCAGCACAGTACCGGTCCCGAGCCGGTTCCGGGTCGGGCCACCCGGCCCGAGTCCAGGACTATCCATGTGTATGCTACATGGACAACAACAAACCAACCACAGTCACTCAAAAACGCAAACAACCACATGTTTTAATAAATAGTCCCAAAATCGAGGAATTTTAAGATACTTAAATAACTCTACCAAGTCCGAGTGATATGTAAAAAATGTAAAGAAAGTTTGCAAAAAATTACTTAATGCGCTCATTTTTCTTCTTCAACGGTTTTTCTTACCTGTGTGCTTGATGTTTGAGTTTCAATGCATTCCGCAATATCAAAAGACCTTTTCTCATTTGATGTGTTAGTTGGGATATTGGCCTCAATATTCACCGAGTAATTGCACCCGTCTGGTAAAATATTAAAATGAATAAAAAAATCATGGCAAATCATTTGATGTAAATGGTTTATATTGTATAATGTGTCACTCATTAATAGAACGGTGCAAGTGTAGGAGTTTACCCCTTCAACATTCTATAAACGATTTTAACAATAATTTATATGGAGTATATGAACTTTTTGAACTGCTTAATTTCAACAATGATTTAATTTTTTTTAAATATAAAACAGCGGGGTTTTATAATAATATCAAGAATCATACAAAACAACCTTCAGAAAGTTATGCCAGATCTGATCATAAATTCTTGGAATAGACATAGTCAAATTCACATAAAGTTATGCCAGATCTGATCACATAGAATCAGTCACTTCACACAAAACAACCTAATTCGCTAGACACAAAATAGGCAAATTTAAGCCTAAAACAATATCTATCAAAAGTACTTTAGAAATCCAAATATCCAAACCAAACTCACTCAATGTAAAATAAAAATAAGTACTCTTACCAAAGGAAAAATAAAAGTGAGATAAAACTTTTCCACAAAACTCTTACCAGCACGGAGGTGGATCTGGAGGAGGTCGAGCCCTATGAGTATCTACACAACCCAAAAGAAAGCAATCAGAAACCCTTGACCAGACAAAGCTGGTTGGGACACCGCAACATCTCCCCCACATCATGGGATACAAAACAATCCGGAGCGCCAGTGCTCGGGGAAATAACTATCAAAACACATAACAAACATAACCGCAAAATAAGAATTGTCAAGTTGGATTGTACCCCTACCAACAGTCTTTGCTAGCTAGAACAAGACATGGAATCCGTTATCTACTTAGATACATCGTTCGTCCTCTTTCAGCTTTACATGAATTGAGAGGCTCGACGACAAGTGTGTTGGGTGAATTGCGTGTTTAATCGGAAAATAGAGAAATTATTTAAACAAATTGTTGATTTTTTGTCCCGTAGATCCGGAAGCCCAACATAATCTTCGGATATTAAGGACGATGAGTTCGGTATAAAAGTAAATCAATATATATATATAAGTGTATGAACTAGCTATTTTTACGTGGAAACCCGGAAAGGGAGAAAACTGTCAAATAAGCCCCTCTACTTTGTACGAAAAGTCAATTAAGCCCCCTACTCTAAATTCGTTCATTTCAGTCCACGAAGTCTAAAAAACAACCAATTAGGCCGTTTGGAAGGTTACCAACCGGTAACCCCATTCACTGCTTATGTGGCAGCCTAAGTGGCAGTTTTTAAGTTGGCTGAGTAATTATTTTATTATTGTTGTTATATTTCTTTAAATTATCGTCTTATCTTCTTAGAACTATTCCCCATCGCACAAGTTTGAGTCTTCTTCCTCCCTAGGTCGTAACAGTCGTCGTCTTCGAACGAAAGCAGATGGCATCTTCATCCGCATCTACTGCCACTAAAGGACGAAGTTCTACACTTTTGTATGAACCGCCTGTGTATTGCCTTTGTGGAATGAAATCCCCCTTGTGTGTTGTACGCGAAACAGGGAGAAGTTTTTATGGTTGTCAAAAATGGAAGGTAAAAATATAGCTACAATAGTTTTCATTATTTCGCCATTGTAAGCGAAACAGGGAGAAGTATTAATTCTTCGAATTCGGTTTTTAAAAAGATGGGAGTGTTTAAGTTGTTGTTTGTTGTTAAATTTTGAGGGTAAACGATTCCCCCATTGTCAATTTAATGTTCCCTTTAATGTTTGAACATCTGGATTTCCCCATAAGGAATGCATTTTGTAGCTTTATTTGGATTTGTTTCTGTCAATGAATTAATTAATTAATTAATTAATTAATTAAAGTAATGAAGTGTATTTATTGTATTTCTTACATCCCTGACATTCCATTCCAGGTTAACATGGGATGTGGATTTTTCTTGTGGAAGGATGATGTAGAGATAAGAGGCACACATCATGGAGAAGAGATGAAGACAAAAGCAGATAATGTGAGGCTCATGACTACTGCAATGGCTGAACAAAGGGTTGTACAAGGACAGATTGCTTATCTTACAAAGCTACATGAAAATGAAGCCAAGGAAAACAAAAAATTTAGGCAATCAATTGCTTTTGTTTTCATTGCTGTAGTTGCTTTTATTGGTATGTGGTATATGCACTTCAACACAAAAAAAATGCATATATTAGTGGTTGTAGTAGTGTGTTGTAATCTGGTATAACCAAACTTCATGAACACCATTTAGTCTGTAATGACAGTTTTTCATTGCTAATGTAGTACTTATTGATGACCATTTAGCACTTTCCATTGTTAATATAGTAAAATTTTTCATCCTTTGTTGACTTTTGGTACAATTTAATGGGCTGAATTGAACATACTGTGTTGGTATGTATATGAAGATTCCGGTTGTCTGGGAATTACAGAAATCATTAGTATGTAATGAGGATTGAACATGATGAATTGGACATGATGGATTCAACAAGTGAATTACAGAAAGCTTTACTCCTTAATTCCTGATTAATGAGGCACTGTAACAACTCCATTGGTCAAGTGTAATAAGGATTAAACATGGGATGGATTGAAGATGAATTAAGCATTAAACGGATTCCAACATTAAACACACATGAATAGGAGTTGACCTACTCCTAACACCATTTAATATATATGTACCTGTTATAGTAAAAAACAGCTTCATATTAAAGGTGAATGGGTTGAATTGAACATGATTGTAAATCCAAAAACCAACACTGATTTGAGAACTTAAAAGCATGAGCTCTGGCCCACATATACCCATACGTACAAGCAACTTTACAGCCAATATTCACCCAAAAAAGCTCACAAAGTTTTGCCAAACATACTGCCAACAACAGTTTCAAGCCAAACTACCACCACACATAACTTATCCAACAAAACAACTAAGTCTTTACATCCCATTACATAAAAGCCATCAAGCAAAACAAAAAGTCTTTACATCCCATTACATAACACCCATCCAGCAAAACAACCAGAAGACTTTCCATCCTGCAACCTTCATTTGCCCTTGATCTTCATCATCCATTCAGTACTCTTTCACTTGGCTGCCCAGGCTGAAATGAGGTAACACCACATTTGAATATACAAATTTACAATAAATTCCACCACAACAACATTGAAGTAGACATATTTTAACTTACATCAAGAAGGGTTTCACCAGTGTTGTGATTGTAGTACACACCAAAACCACTTTGTTGTCTTCCCCTCCCTCCTCTTCCTGGCAACCTTGATCCTCTCCTCCGACTTGGTTGACCCCGGCCACCTCCTGTTTCATTTGTTTCAACATTTTCACCTTCCACAGCACTTGAAAATCCTCCTCTTGTAGATCTACCCTGCCTTGCACCTCTTCTTCTCGGATTAGCTCTTGGTATTTCTTCAGTAGGTGTGTTTTTATTAGTACAAGAAGACTTATTATGCCCTTCCCCTTTACAATTGGAACATTTCATAACCCTCCCCTTTCTTGTAAGCTGTGAACCAGATGAGGGTGCTTCAGATGCTTCCCGGATTCTCTTCTTCTTTGGGCGTCCACTCATCTTCTTTGGCACAGGAGGCAGAATATCTTCATGCTGAGTTCGTGGCCATAACAACTCTCCATTAATTGGTGGAAGAGTGTATGAATAAGTTCTCTGGTAGAATTCCTTAGAGTAGCAGCTGTCCACATATTGTTCCGGATTTTGGCCATTATAAAAAATGGCACATATGGCATGCGCACAAGGTATTCCAGACAAATCCCACCTTCTACAGGAACATGTTTTACCATTCAGACTGACCTTGAATTGTTGTTTTCCTTTTTTAATTTCATAGCCATCGTCCCCGTTGAATCCACATTCCATCCTTGGCTAGCTAAAATGTTTTTGTTCAATTTATTCATAATCACAGGTCCAAATTGTCCTGCCAATGTTTATAAAAAAAATTATATATAAATATCAATGTATTGCAAATGGAGAGTAAAACATCCATTTATTATGTAAAGTAAGATGTAAATAATGAACTTAAGAAGATGTAAATCAATGTTCTGCCAATTAAGTCCAAATTGTCCTGCCAATTTTTGTGATCATTTCTACCTACCAGAGTACAACTTGGTCATTTATTATGTAATTGGGATAGTTGAAGATGTGAATTAGCAACTTAAGAAGTTCTTAGTAGGCCCGTTATGATGTCTTTTAAGAAACTTCACTTCTGAATATGTAAACTACCAATTCAAATGAATGTAAAATGTTAACTACAAAGTTAAACTATACTACTTCATTTCTGAAAATGTTAATTATTGGACTAAAATTATGCCAACCAGATCATAAAGGGAATTAATTATCCATTACCAATTGAAGTAAATATTATACCTGGCCACTTTTGGACATATTTCCTTTTTTTGGCAATCCTTTTCATCATTGCAACTCTAATGTCCTCTAGCATTGGAATAATAGGTTTTCCTCTGCATTTGAGAAGGCTGCTATTGAAGGCCTCTGATAAGTTGTTCTCAACAGTATCACATTTCACATCCGTTCGAAAATATGCCTTGCACCATAATTTGAAATCAATTTTGCGCAGGTCTATACCAGCATCACTATCTGCCTTATCCAACTCCTCTAATGCAGCCTGCAATTGTTCCTCGCAAGTGGACTTTGCACACATCCAGAACAGGTTCTTAAGAAGCAAACCTCTGTGGGTTTTGCTCCAATTCGCATGAATGTGTCTAGCACAATTCCGGTGCTCAGCCTCTGGGAAAACTCTTGCAATCACATTACAAAGACCCTGCAGTGCCAAGATACATGTAATTAACAGTCGTAACAACTGATATTGTAAGCTTAAATCATTACATGTATATATAATGTTACTTACCTTTTGTTGGTCACTTATGATAGTCCACAAATCTGACCTAGTGATTTGCAGATCAGTTTTCAGAAGCTCTAGAAACCAGGCCCATGACGAGTTGTTTTCAATCTCAACTACCGCCCATGAAATGGGGTACATTTGGTTATTGGCATCTCTACCTACTGCTGATAATATCTCCCCTTTCAGTTGACCTTTAAGAAAGCACCCATCTAGTCCAATAACCTTCCTACAACCTTCAAGAAACCCTTTTTTAACCGGTCCGAAGCACACATATATGCGTTGAAATATAGAGGGAGAATCAGGAACTGCTCTTGTAGTATGAATGACCATTGTACTGTCAGGAATAGACTGTAGGCATTCCTCTGCGTAGTTTCTGATTTTTTTGAATTGCTCTTTCCAATCTGTTTGGGTTTTCTTTTGAATAATCCTCAGAGCCCTGGTAGCCATACTGGTAGAAATGTGTATTTTGAGCTCGGCTTTAATCAGTTTCTTCAGCTCCAATGCAGTCATACTAGGATCATCAACAACCTTATCCTCAAACTTTTCTGCAATCCATTTCTGACTAACTATCCCCAACTTATACTTCAAATTGCATTGATGTTTTTCGTTGAAAACCGACACTTGAAAGCACTTCAATCTCTCATCCCATGTACCAGTACAAGAAAAAGAACATGTACCACCACATTTCACCCGGACTCTGTGTGGCTCATTTTTGGCAAATTTTATATCTCTTTTCTCATGCACAGCATATCTAACAAGAGCACTCTTGAATTGTGTACCATCTTCAAAATACATTCCCACCTGTATGTTAGGAGGCTCACAATCTGGATTATAAGTACAAAAGTGTTCTCTAGGCTGATCATGTAGTTCTGGTTCACCATTGTAGCGTCTTGGATTCGATGAGTCATACTCAACACTATCTTCCCCTTCTGAGGTGTCACTTTTAGTTTTGTATTCCTCCTCTTCTACTGTTCCAGCTTGTTGTATATGTGAAAGACTTCCTTGTGAACCCACATCCACATCCATTAAGCTTTCATTATCATCTGCCAGACCTTCTTTTTCTATACTCTCTTCATGTTCTTCTTCAGATGCTAAACCATCACCCTTTGTGAATTCCTGTTCTGCATCGTGTGATGTTAACCCTTCACTCGTTTGGTCAACATCTGCATGACCACCTATAACAGGTTCTTCATTTAATGTGAAACCAACAGGTTCTTCATCATGTTGAGGTACAGGTTTACCATTGGCATTCGTAGTTGGCACAGGTAATAGAGGAATTTCAACTAATTCAGCCTCATCAAGACCGTGATGTACATAAATCTCACACTTCCCACACCTTGTACCCATATATATCAGATCTAGGGTTGATGCATCATTGAACAATTCATGTAACATCTCCATTGGTTGTTCTGGTGTTTTGTAATACAGCCCACAAATGTTCCCATATGATCCTGATTTTAGAGACTTCATCATATGAGTATAGCTTATGAAATCAGGATCTACTTTAATGATGTCCACTTCACCACCTACGTACATGCTAGGAGGAGTACTAACGAAGTTCCCTCCATGGTGAATAATGAGCTCGACCCTGTCAAACATGCTGTACAAAACAACCAATGAATCACTTCAAGGAAAAAATCACTACTCAAATTACGAGAAAACGTTTTAAACAGGTACACACACTGACAATCATTTCCACTTAAGTGTGTCAAACAAGTTGTACACAACAACAAATGTTTCACTTCAAGGCGAAAATGTTTACATTAGGGGAAAATGTTTAAACACACACTACCAATCAATTCCACTTAATCGTGTATACAAACAGAGTTGGACAAACAGCGAATCCGACCAAGCAAATACATGTAAAAATGTGTGGGGTTGTATAAAAGTAGAGTTCGAATATTACCTGTGCGGTTGTACTAAATCTGACCACTCAAACGGATGTTGGTTGCGCTTCACTTCTGGTAAGGACCATTTCAATGGCGTCGTTCTTCTTCACTGAGAGCTGAATGGCGTCGCTGGCAACATTGAAACATTAGGGCTTAATTTGAAATGGTTAGGGTTTAGTTTTTTGTTTTTTAATATACTCCCATTGCATCTTTAAAAATATTTGACATGTCAACTTACTCAGCCAACTTAAAAACTGCCACTTAGGCTGCCACATAAGCAGTGAACGGGGTTACCGGTTGGTAACCTTCCAAACGGCCTAATTGGTTGTTTTTTTAGACTTCGTGGACTGAAATGAACGAATTTAGAGTAGGGGGCTTAATTGACTTTCCGTACAAAGTAGAGGGGCTTATTTGACAGTTTTCCCTTCTCATTAATATCCTCCCATCACTCATTTACATAGTACAAAAGTATAACTCCATTAATGGGGGTTGAAGAAGCTAATCTAAGAGAGGAAGAAATAAGCAGGGAGGGAGAAGGGAAGCAAAAGAGAGATCCT